ATCAAAAAAAAAAAAATCAATCCATTAATCAACCAATCAATCAATCAATCAATCAATCAATCAATCAATCAATCGACCAATCATCAACCAATCAATCAATCAATCAATCAATCAATCATCAATCAATCAATCAATCAACCAATCAATCAATCAATCATCAATCAATCAATCAATCAACCAATCAATCAATCAATCATCAATCAATCAATCAATCAATCAACCAATCAATCAATCAATCAATCAATCATTAAAAAAAACAATCAATAAATGAATATTTATTTTTTTTCTATTTTTAATTTTTTTTTTGCCACCTATCAAAATCGACCCCCCCAAATTTTTTATTTTTTTTTATTTTTTTTAATGCAGGCCGATAGCGGCCGATGTGCGCAGGCCGAGCGCGTGCGCAGATTTTGAGCGTGCGGCCCCGCCTGGGCGGGGCGCGGCCGCGCGCAAACTCGGCCGTGGACTGGGATTCTGCGGCCGCGGCCTAGGGTGCCACGTAGGTGAATGCTTCAATGCAATGATAAACAGATAGTGCAATAATACTCACCCCATATGCAATCGCGTACCCATCGAAAGTGGATGTACCTCGTCCCAGCTCGTCCAGGACAACCAAAGAATTACTTGTGGCATCTCGAAGGACGGATGCAGTTTCGTTACACTCCACCATAAATGTACCTGCAATAACAAATTGACATAAAGAGTACCACCAGCGGGTTTGAGTACTACTTCGTTTTCTCTCTTCTCAACAAAATTTTGGACCATTCTCGACTTATGCATATGTCATCCTTCCGCAGGTGCCATTTAGTTAATTACCCTTCTCTGTGTCTTTCCAATCCTTTTCAAGTTTTAAAACTTTAAAGTTTAAAGTTTTACCGGATGTCCCGCTGAACCTTTGTTTTTCAGTTCTCCTTTTTCAACTGTTTTGCCAAAAAGATGTAAGAGCATCATATTTTAAAAAATACTTAAAAAGGGGATATGATATTATGATGATCATATCAAATTGTGAACAGCAGAATACTACTTTCTCTCAAATCTTTACCTTCTTTTGATTTGCTGCTTGCTTCAAGAACATAGTGAAAAGTTCGGAGTCTAATAATACAATATTACAAAAACATGGAATAAAAGTTATAAAACAGTCAGGAAAACTTCATCTTGACTCTTGCATCGCCAAATTTCACGGAAGTTTGTCTTCTTCTTCTTCTTCTTCTTCTTYTTCTTCTTCTTTTTTTTTTTTTTTTTTTTTGCAGAGGGAGTGCACCTCTGTATGGCAGATTGTATGGCGGTGCAGTGTGCACTGTGGTCCAAACCAGCGGTCCGCATTAGGAACGACTCGTTGAGACTGAACCGGGACCGGTTTACACAGGTAGCAGATAAACAGAAGTCAACGGGGCGTGTTAAAATCCTACCGGAAGAAGCGGAGTCACCTCTGTGGGTACTGCACATTAAGTTCATCATTGTCGGCTTCATCTTTTCTTTTTCGTTTTTTCTTTTTTTTCTTTTTTTTGGGGCGCCGGGGGGGGGGGAGGAGTGGGGCTGGCGGATTCAATTGCAGGTGGCTGATAAACAGGTCATGAGTTCAGGTCGTGCTGTGGGTAGTATAAGTTTATCCCAAGTCGTGAACAAACGTAGCCAATTGATAGACATGTCATTGAGTTCAAAATTCAAATCCTTAGATTGAAATTGTAGAACAGGAAACGCCTCTCTGGTACCATGGCAAGTTTTTGTTTTTTTTCCCCTTTCTTTCTTTCTTTCTTTCTTTCTTTCTCTCTTTCTTTCTTTTTCTTTCCCTTTCTCGGATTCAGATGCAGCTGTTGATAAACAGGTCACGACTTCAGATCCTGAACGTTCAAAACCCCCTCCCTACTTCAGACCACCAGTAGCCTCGTTTTGCAAAGGCAGATTCCTCCTGCACACCAAGCTAAGCTTTGCCAAAAAGCCAGTGCAGATTCTTTTTTTTTTTTTTTTTTTGGGTGCGGGCACCTGGCACCGCCAGCCATTTTGGTGCGCGGTAGCATTGTTCAAGGAAAGGGAACCACTCAGTTTGGGGCTCCTGTGCTTTTTCTCGCCCCCCCCCTTTTTAAAAGGGTAACAGTCTTGAGCATACTTGCGGCGCACTGGTGCGGTGCGCGTGCGCCATGCGCCTTGCAGAAATTAGTGTTGCGCTAATGACACGCCCATTAGGCGGGGTTTGTGTCTGTATAGATGTGTGTGTGTGTGTGTGTGTGTGTGTGTGTGTGTGTGAGAGAGAGAGAGAGAGAGAGAGAGAGAGAGAGAGAGAGAGAGAGAGAGAGAGAG